TGGTGGTTTGCCAGCAATCATTGATTTCCTTTGGTTTAGATACATCACTCAATCCTCAAACTTCATGTGATATTCTCCCTGTGTTCTTCACATGCTCTTTCCTCTTTGTGTAGCTCTGTGTCCAAATTTTCCCTCCTTGGAAGGACCCTAGTCATATTGGACTGGGCCCATTCTAATGATGTTATTTTGACTTGATGACTTTTATAAGATGCTTATGTTCAAAAGTGACATTCTGAGGGACTGAGAATTAGAACTTTTGCCCTGTCTTTCCTGGGTACAGAAGTCAACCCATAAACAGATGTGTTCCTAAAAATGAACAAAAGAACGGCTACATCGTCTTCTTTAGTGGGTATGGGAGTTGATGGAGCTGGGATCTGACTATGAGGAACTTGTGGCCTTACTGTGGTAGCCAAACTCCAGGATGGTTACCAGTGATCTTTGACTTGGTTCTTCATAGCCTGTTTTGTCCTTTCCTTACTTGAGCAGAGTTGATCTGCATGATCTATAGATTATGTCAGTAGTGATGCGGTATTCCTTCTGAAGCTAGGTTATAAAAGACATTTGATTGCTGCCTTGTTCTCTTGTGGAGCACTTGCTGTGAGAAAACCAGCCACTGTGTAATGAGGACATTCAAGCCACGCAGTGACAGAGATTGAGGCCTCCAGCCAGTAAGCCATGTCAGTGAGCCTGGACTGAAGGGGACCTTCCTGCCCTAGTCAGGCCTCCAGATAACCACAGCCCCAGATCATGTCTTGATTATGACATAGTGAGAGATCCTGCTTTAGCTTCCCCTTGCTGCTGCAGCAGCAACTCAGCACAAGTGTAGCAGCTAAAACAATGTAAATTTATTCTTTATTTTTTTTTGGCCAGGACTGGATTTGAACCCACCACCTCTGGCATATGGGGCTGGTGCCCTACTCCTTTGAGCCAAAGGCACTGCCCCGTAAGTTTATTCTTTTATAGTCCTAGAGGTTAGAAGTCAAAAATGAGTCATTAAAGATTAAAAAAACAAAGGTATAGTCATGGCTAATTTCTTCTGAAGTCTCCATGAGCCGATCTGTTCCAGCTTCTTGGGGCACCCAACATTTCTGAGCTCCTGGATACATCACTCTGATATCTTCTTCTATCTCCATGTCGCTGGGTTTTCCCTCATTAAGACTCTCCCCACCCTCTTGGAGTGAAGCCTGTGGCTCAATGAGTAGTGTACTGGCCCCATATACCTAGGGTGGTGGGTTTGAACCTGGCCCCAGCCAAACAAACAAAAAAATAGCCAAGCGTTGTGGCGGGTGCCTGTAGTCCCAGCTACTTGGAAGACTGAGGCAAAAGAATTGCCTAAGCCCAAGAGCTGGAGGTTGCTGTGAGCTGTGACACCATGGCACTCTACCAAGAGTGACAAAGTAAAACTCTGTCTCCTAAAAATTAAAAAAAAAAAAAAGATGCACCCACCCTCTCAAAAGGACCCTTGTTATTCTGTGTACGGCCCACCAGGATAATCTTCCCACCTCAAGATCCTGAACTCAAACTTATCTATAAAATGCCTTTTACATATAAGGTAACATATTTTCATGTTCCAGAATTAGGGTATGGACATTTGGGAAGCCCTTATTCAGCCTACCAAGGTCTGTGGGCCATAACCTCCCAGATAAGCCCCTCCTGAATTCTCAACCTGCAAAACTCATGAGTGATAACAAATGATATTTGACATTTCAAAACACTAGGTGTTGAAGTAATTTGTTCTGCCGCAATAAGTAACTAAGACAGAATAGGGATTTGTACTTCAGCATTTGATTCTATAGCCCTTGAAAGTCATTATTCTGGATGTCTTGTAACATTTTTCCTGAAATATATATATAGAAAGTGTGCAAATCTAAGTGAACAGTTGAATGAATTTTTACAAATGGAAAGCACCATAATCTGTCTTAAGTAATAAAGTCTTGGTAGATCTTGGATGTTTTTACACTCTGTGTCAGTCGTTTTGCCTGCTTGAGCTCACGTTTATTCTCCCCCCCTTTTCTGCTGTGCTGCATAATTGCAGAGAACAACTTTGTTTCCTGTTTCTTGCCTTCTGATAGGCTCAGCCAATGAAGGCAATAATGGACACTTAAAAGGAGCAGGAGGAGGAAAGCCAGGATAGTTCTTCTCTGCTGGAACTGCCTGGGCCCCCCCTAGAAACAGTTATACGTTCTTCTAATTCTGGATCCCATTAGGAACTCCCCTCCAACACAAAGCTATCTTGCACTGGGTAGCACCACTGATGTCCCATTGTATGCCCCAACTTCTCAGCTTTTCCTTCTAGGCCTAGACTGACTGTGCCTTCCTGCTGATTACACACAGACACTACATTTCTCAATTCCCTCCCTTAGGGTGTTCCCACTGAGTTGTGACACACAAACCCAGTAGATGAGCAGGTGGGCTTGTGGCAGGTCCCCAGACTTCGTATGTGGTCTATGTACTGTCCTCTATTGATGACTTTATTGTTCTCACCTTTTCTCACTCTAACTAACTCATCTTATATGCTGCCCTTGTTTTTTGTTCATATCTTTTCCCTGAAGGATAATGGAAAAGCTTTGGAGCCAGAGTCCTACATTCTAATCTCAGCAATGTGGTGATGAATCTGCCCTTTCTGAGGCTCCTCATATTTCCCCAATAATTAAATGATAGCAATGCCAATGTTGATGTTTGATCTGCCAAACTCAGTCCTCACTTCAGCCTGGGATGGAGAGTCTTAATAGTGCCCCCATTTACCAATGAGACAACTGAGTATCAGAGACGTTAAGTAACTTGCTGAAGGTCACACAGCCATTGAGGACCAGAGTTGGAACTTGAGCTCAGGCACCTGGGCTCCAGAGACTACTTTCACTTTCCTGATATTATGAATTTGACACTTTTCAGGGCCCCATTTCCTCTACCCATATGCCTGGTCCCAGACCAACACTCCCACCCCCAAGACCCAGGGTATGTTTCTTTCCTCTACCCATTAAGAGATAGTATGTAAACTTTAGATGCTTCCTGCTCCTCCATGAACTGAGAGGGCCAAGCTTTACCCAAACAAAACTGGGAGAGGGCATCTATGCTCCTTTTTCATGTGTTGGAACCCAAGACCTGGATGCTCAACTCAGCTTTGTGCCCCCACAGCTGTGTGACATTGAACAGAAAATTTTGGTGCTCTGGCCTTTGTGTCCTCATATCTCAAATGGGCAAGGCACTCTTTCAACCAATGTTTATGAGATTCAGTGTCCTTAAAACCTGCCTAAGACCTATGTACTTCTGATAGGATCTATAGCAGAAATCCAGATTTCTCAGCCTCAGGGTCTTCCAAAGACATTGGTGCCACGTCTCCCTGGGCTAATTCCATCATCCTGGCCCACTATGAGAGAGATGAGTGTGGGGAAAATGCTTTTGTAAACTTCAGGGATTTTGTACCCAGACACTTTCAAGGTGTATTTATGAGCTGATATGGTGGTATCCTGGGGTGAGCATCCCCTCTGTCCCTCAGCATTCTTTATTTCCTCTGACAGCCACTGACCTTCAGCCTGGGGGCCCAAGATGGGAATTTCACTGTTGCAGCTTCAGTCACCCACAATGTACAATCAGCTCCTTCTCATGCTGCCTTAGCTTCTCTCCACACCACCCCTTCCTTTTCTAACAGCTTGGCAGGGCCCTTGAGTTGGCTCAGTCTTTGTCTGATGCCTTTCCCTATCTCTCTCTCTCTCTCTTTAAAATTATAAAAGACTCAAAATTATTTGAGAAGTATAGACTTACAATTTGTGAGTGGACAAGCTGATATGAAGAGGAGAGCTGAGTGCGTCCCTATGGTGGGGAACTGTCCTGGTACTCTCTGCCTTCCTTTGGGATGGGGCACTCATTGTCCCAGAAAGATTCCTGGATTGGGAGCCTGGAAGACTAAGGCTCTACTCCTTACTTGTCCTGAATAACCTCACCACCCTTAGTTTTCTCATCTACGAAATAAAGCAGAATAACCCCAGGCTCAGAGATGTGCCAGGAGCTATTCATGGTCACACAACTAGTGAGTTCTGTGCAGAGCTGGGAATTGAACTTACATCTGATCCTGAATTCTCATATTCTGTATCTACAATCCCTATCCACACTCTCCTCAGTTGATACATGTGTGTTCCTTTAAGCAACAGTCCAAAAATAAACTTCACAAGCTTTGCACAGTGACAGTATCATAGCCAATGAGGTTTATCCAAGGCGCAATTATTGCTAATTGAAAACTTTTCCCAATACCCTGCTGTGATGACTTGCAATATAGTCCACACTGGCAAAAAAGTAAATAAATGTCACATGATTAGAACCACTTGCAAGAAAAATACCATCCAATAGTCACATTTCTTCCTGTCCATAAATATTCTCAACCCTTCAAGTGTGTGTGCATGTTGTTTGCAAAATTCAGACATGGTGTTCCTCTGCTCTGTTGTGTTTGCTTCCCATTATTCCACAGAACCACTCCATACTGCCACAGTTCTTATTTCCAATGTTAATATCTGGCTGATAACCTCCAAGTGACACACTGTGATTTCCCTAACTATTTCCAATTGCTTGGTGATGAAACAGCTTTCAGTATCTCCCTGTCATCAATAGCACCACTCCAGGCATCCTCAGATACAGAGTTATGCTCTGCCTTTTGATTTCACCCTCCTAGGATTCCACAGAAAGTGGAATTCTATGTTTCACCCAGAATTTCACACTCAGCACTATTGATTGTTGAGCCATATAATTCTTTGTAGTAGGGTCTGTCCTGTGTGTTGTAGGATGTTGAGCAACATCTGTAGCCTCTATCCACTAGATGCTGGTAGTATCCCCCCAATTTTTGACAGGCAAAAATGTCTCCGGATATCAGTAAATGTCTCCTGGCCTGGGGGAAGCCGGTTGTGAAATCATCCTCAGTTGATACACATTACATTAAAGGGTAGGGGTGTGTGTACGTGGAAAGCAGAGATTTTGCTGAGTCTAGACAAAGTTTAGGGAAGTACCAGGGAGTAATAAGCACAGGGAAGGAGCACAGAGGGGGAGATAGATGTACTGAGCTCGAGGTCTAGCACTGACAGGAAGTCTTTGCTTCTCAGTGCCTCAGTTCCTTATCTATAAAACGGAGTGAGAATAGTCAACTCATCTACCAGGTCTGTGAAGCACAAGAAAAAGGCATGAACCTAAAACACTAAACACAGCACAGATCACAAAAAGCAGCCTGTCATCTTTGCCTGCGCTTGTGGGAGCCCTGCCAAGGGTTTTCCATTTTTGCCTTTGCTGCTACTGGGAAGAGCAATGTGGGGCATCCAAGGCACAGGGTTGAATGGAAATTATTCTTGTTTCTGCCTTCCCCCCAACCTCCCTCGCCAGATCCATCCATTCCGTGGTTCTTCCTTGGAAACTAGGTTCTGTGACCCTTGTGTATCTTTAGTCATCCATGTGTACTGGGCAGCACAGTCAAGAGCAATGTGGGGCATCCAAGGCACAGGGTTGAATAGAAATTATTCTTGTTTCTGCCTTCCCCCCAACCTCCCTCACCAGATCCATCTATTCCGTGGTTCTTCCTTAGAAATTAGGTTCTGTGACCCTTGTGCATGTTTAGTCATCCATCTAAGATGAGCTGAGCACCACTCTGTGCTGGTGCAGATCCAGAGCATGTTCAGACATGTTAGGTGCAGCATCTACTGCACAGGAGAGCAAGCTATGTGTCCCTGGGCCACTCCTCGGAAAATCCATTTCCTCTTATATAAAATGCAGAGCACCTGGCTGAAGGTCTGATCAAGCCATCCACAGAGAGAGCTTCTCATGGAACACCCACAATGTTGTAGGTGTTGTAGGAGCTCACTGGGCTCCGGTATGAGCTCACCACAATGTTGTAGGTTGTAGGAGCTCACTGGGCTCCGGTATGGCTGAGGGTGTGTCTCCTCCCCAGAGAATGTGTAGATAGGTGGGTAGGGATTTTGTCTAAGGCCGGGTGTGCTTGCTGTGGTCTCTCTCCAGGAGCAGTACATGGAGGACCTTGTAGCAGCAAGGCAGACCCTCCAGTGAGACCTGTAAACCCATCTAATGGGTTGCTGACCTGCAGGTAGACTTGGAAGAGGTGGCCAGTGATAGTAATATGGAGAAGTAAGCTGTAAGGGTGGGGCTGGGCACAGCAGGTGGACTCTACCCTGGGAAATTCTGGCTAGGAGACCAGATGAGCTGGGAAACCATGACCACTTTCTACACGGAGGGATACCTGGCTTGCTTGGGTGAGAACAGACCCCTGAAACCACTTGGCCCTGCTTGCTAAGTGTTTGATAAAGCAATGTGTCTGGAATGAGGACTTCAGTTTCTGGTTTGGGCCAATTTGATGTCTAATCATGGCCTAATTTGTAAAGTGGACATAATAATATTAGGATGAACCACATGAAATTGCCAAGATTTGCCCTACAGACATGAGGTTTTCTGTTTTTAACCAACTTCCCACCTCAGAGGGCTGATAGGGAGAGTTGATGGAGTTCATAGATGTACATCATTTAGAACAGTGCTGGGGTATATACATGTATGTAAGTAGAAGCTGTGTTTGCACAGAATAATGAACATTATTATACAAAGGCAAGGTCTGATTTAAGGATGCAAGGTTGGGCTGGAGATTGGCAAAACCACCCAAGTTTAATGTCAGGGCTGCTTGCCTTTCCCAGGAGATAGGCGGTTTCCTACCATCTCCACTCAAGTCCCAACCTACTACAGACCACAGGTGGCTACTTAGCTGGAAGGAGTTGTAGACTCCTAGATGTGCACATGGGTGAATGCTGTTTAATCTTTACAGGTTGCCAAAGCAACCTATTCTCAGGAGCTGCATTTGTAGCCTTGGCTTGTTGCTTCTCTCGAAAGCACAAGCTTGCCATGACATCACTGTCCTCATCACAGCTTCTGTGTCTAAGCCTAGACTGCAGGGAAGATATTTCTTTACAGTGCTTTGTAATAAGGAAATTGCAGGTGCAGTTTCTACCCAATGCCTACATGCTGGCCCTGCACACACTAAAGTGGACCAAATTGGAAACCAGTTTTTACTGGTCTTCCTCTCTGTGAAATCTGGTTTGTATTGTAGACACTTCAGTCAAATGTCAGGTCTTAGAGTGCAACTCTCGGTTTTCCCACAAGGACCCTGACCTCCAAGAGGTTTAAGGTTACACAGCAAATTCACATCAACACTGAGTTAGAATCCAGTTCTGCTGAGTTTTCTACCCTGATCTTTGTCACATACAGCCCCATGAACAGGTGGGGGTAAGGGACAGGTGTTGGCCTTTGAGAGGTGTGGGTATGAGACAGGAAAGAGAAGCAAGGAGGGTTGCAAGCAGAGATCTGGAGCCCAGGAGCCCAGGTTTTTTGAACTGCTGAGAAGTAGAATAAGAGAAGAGCCCCAGAATGGTCCTACCTTTTTGGAACCTGCATCTTGATGGATTTATGTGTGTGCATGTGTGTGTCTGTGAATAAACTGGACAGCTTTGATTTAGCCAGTAAGAAGGACCAAATTTCTATATTGACTATGTTAGAGTTGACCTTGCCTAGCCAAGGGAAAAAAAAATACTGGAAGGAAACACACCAATATTCTAACATTGAGGGAAGATGTTACCGTGACAACTTTTTTTTCTTCAAGTTTATATTTTCTAAAATCTGTGTAATGCACATGCACACACATCCCTGGGTATACTACTTCCCTCTTTATAATATTTTTATCATACTAGTTATGTACTTTATATACATCTAATTTTAGAATGTGCACAGCCCTTCTCCCTTGATGTAGTTCTGGGCTGCTCATAGCTTCTCAGAGATTTGTAACCTCAAACTCTCTAGCAAAAGACGTTCATGCTCAGAAATAGCAAAATGGAGACTCATTGGATTCTAAAACACCACCATTATTTGTATTCTGTTCCCAGTATCAAGACTCATATTCATCTTCTGTTCTGATCCACCTTTTCTAGCTCCAGGACCTGAAAACGCAAGAATCCACTCTGTGTACCTTAACCCTTCCTCCATGCTGGGCTTCTGTTGCCTTTCCCTTGACTTAATCTCCAGTTTTCACACATCACCTGAATCATGGATTGGAAGGGACCTCACCTGTATTTCAGGATTTCTTTGAGATGTGAAATGACTACAGACTACCAAGTCTAAATAAATGCATCTCATACCTGAAAAAATCTTTTGCAATGTGCAGAATCATTGCTTTGGAAGTAGGGAAAATCAGAGAGGGCACATGCTCTGCATTCCAGTAAACCTGATTGCTTATTAGGAATCCAGTGCATAACTGTAAACAAGTTATTCAAACTCTCTGAGCTTCAGGCTCTTTGTTTGTAAAATGGCTTAGTTAGTAATAATATGTAAGTAAAAAAAAAAAAAATAGGACCTCCTAGTACAGTGTATTGCACATAGTAGGGGACCAACAACCTCCAGCTGCATTCATTCATTCTTTCAATAAATTCTTACTGAGCACCTATTCCATGCCAGACATGGTATTTGGTGCTTGTGTTATTCTACTTGCTTCTTGTTATCATTCTTCTCTATCTTACAGATAAAGAGAGGTTAAATAACAAGCCTGAAGTCAGGCAGAAGTTCACATTTGGAGCTGAGGTTGGAACACAGTTGAATTGTTGAGGAATAGAGAGGGAGAAAGGCACACGAATGTTCCTGCCTTTATGGAACCTGCATCCTGATGGGTGTGTGTAAATGACATGGACACACTGACAAATATAACACAAGAATACAATCAGAGTTATAAAGGCAAAGAACATGGGTCTGTGATGGAGCAGGCCAGGTGGACATGCTTCTGTGAGAGGAAGGCATTGGAATTAAGATCTGAATGAAAAGGAGAAGCCAGCCATGGGAGGATCTGGAGGAAGTGAGTAAGGTCAGGACAGGCATGGTCTAGAAAGTGAAAGAATACCAGTGTCCCCAAGTAAATGAGAGAAGTGATGCTCTCTACTTTTTTCTTTCTCATCACACCTTCCACCCCTCTCTCCTAACCTTTCTTCACCTCTGGAAATGACCAACAGAAAATGAACTGAAACCCTCCAAGTTCCTTAAAGTGTCCTAGAGCCTCAGGAAGGCTCAGCTACATCATTTGTGGGGTCTGATATGAAGTGAAAATGTGAGGCTCCTTGTTGAAAAGTTATTAAAAATTTCAAGATGATGACAAAAGAGCCTTAAACCAAGAACAGCCCTTTCTAGATCTGGGTCTCAAGCCTCTGAAACCAGCCCTGACCCCAGGTTGGTTCTTAGAAAGCATTCCCTAAGATTCAGCAGGCTTTGATCTTAATATGCTGCCTTATAACTTG